TGATATGGATCTTATCTCACAACCCTAAAAAAACAACTAAATATAACTATGTAGTGTAAACATAAAAGAAGTCTGTGTTAGTGATGCTGTAAGATTATGATGTAATCATGGTATGTGAAACATAGACCTAACAAAAGTGGATCAGTTAGACCTGTGGGGGAAAAAGGACTTAGTAACAAAAAGTTAATGCTTGCCTGACCTTCGTTGCCTGAGCAACAGAAAAAAGCATCTGGTTTCTGACAAGAGGAAACTATATTTGCATACTGATAACTTGATCTTACTATATGTGTAAAAAAATTAGCATGTTTTTTTTTTTCCCCCTCACCAGGAAAAGTGTTTAAATGGGAGAAGTATGAAAACCTTTTGCAAGATCAGCCACCATTCGTGTTTTAATAAAGCTCCTTGGAAGGGAAGTTTTGGCTTTTAAAAACATTTTTATTGTGAGACTTCAAGGACAAACAATTAAAAGGCTGCATTCCTGAGCTCACTGTTACCTCTGAGATGGTTTACTCTAGAACCAAGGCAACTGAAAGGACTTTATGGCTCTGACCCTACCCTTCAATTGTAGATGCCACAGACAAAAAGCTCCATAAATCCAGGGTTAACTTTACTTTAACCAGACAGCTCCAACTGAGCTAACTGTTCCTTACTTAGAAAATAATTAAATAAATCAATAAATACAGATTATATTTATATATAATGTCAATATCAATAATTCTATTAAGTAAAATAACATGTTAAGAGTCGCACAGACATTAAAAAGGTAAAAACCCCTTCAGGTCATGTCATGTAGAACAAAATTCTGTCATGATGAACTAAATTGCAATAAGTACAAAGTGTTCTTTGGAGTTCTGTTGTTTCCACAAACCAGGAAATGACGCAAAGAGATGCTGGCATAGCGCATCTCAGTAAGTCAGTGACAACACGCAAGTGATTAATGATTTCTATTACTCTCCTCGGCCTTGCATGGTGCTTCCAGTCCTGTGTTCCCATAACAGCGTTACACTTATTAGTCACACTCCTTCACACTCCAATCCAAACCACCTGTAGTTCATAGCAAGACCACGTCCTCCCAGCCAACGTACAGTCTGAATAAGTAGCAGTTCTGCGTCTTAGTTGTGACAAGGTAACTGTAGAAGCAGCAAGCAGACTCAAATGCTTCATGAATTGTCCTCACAAAAAAAAAAAAAAAAAGTATTTGAGAGTACATGGGGGAAGAAACAAATGCTTCCTCACAGCACTGTGCTTGGCTGATTCTTTACAAAGTGCCAAGCTTGCTCAAAGGGTTCCTCCTGAATGCCCCTCCACTTAAAGAGGGAACCCAGAGAGTTATTGTTTGGAGAAATTGACAGTTTGCCAAACTTGCTAGTGCTTAAACGCAACAACTCTGGACAAGCAATTTACTCACGGGTTTTTTAATCTCTTTCAGAAATGTGTTGGTCAAGCACACAGATAAAACTTTAGAAAACATAATGATTAAAAAAAAAAAAAAAAAAAAGAAACCCACGGTACCTCCATCTGTGCAGGGAAAAGCCAGGACACTGTTCTCCACAGGTGACGCAGGGCTGCCCTCTCTGTGGCTCATCTGCGGGGTTGAGCTAGTGACAGACAGAGAGACAGGAAGAGAGGTCACAGCTTGCAGCAGCAGATGCGGGCAGCACAGCCCGGGGGCTTTAAAGTCCCCACCGGGATGGGCTCAGGGATTCACTGAAACGTGCAAACACAAGTGAAAACGCAAGATTGTGGGAAGAAGCTCTTATTCGGTGTGACCACTTTTGTTCTTCACCTCTAACGGACAAGCTGTCTATTCTACTAATTCCTGTTCCAAGGAATAGTTCTACTGACTTATTGTCAACATTCCAGGGTTGGATTCGCTGCCCCACACGGATCATTTTGAGGTCTGAGCTCGGGGGGAGATTCATCCCTCCATGGCCACTGATTTTCAGTTCACTTCTGGTGTCCTTTGGGATCACTCAGCCTTATTTTTTTTTTGTTCCCCCTCTATATGGATGGCTGAATAGCAGTATGTGAATAAGCAGATTAACACGCATGGTCTCTGGTCCTGTGTCTTCACTGCACTGTCACCTTCACTGCACTGCTAATCTGCTTTGTTTTGTTTTAACTCAGGAGTCCAGAAACGTTTTTGTTCTGCAGGTTTTCAACAAACAACTCAGTGTTAACTACCTTTTAAGTGCAAACGTCACTTTTCAGGCCTGGCAATCTGTTATCTTTGACAGTTGTCATAGATACAGGGTGACTATTGGGACAAATCGTGTCTTTGTGGTAGGTGGCTGAGCTGTCTGTAACATGGAACATCTTTTCAATGCATGTAACTTAGATGTCTTCATTTGTGCTTGGGTTATTTCAAAATCAGTGTAGGTGACATGAAAACGCGTGAAAAGGCAGACAATGTCCAAAGAACAACATTAAGAAGACAGCGAGAAAGCCTGCTGAAGCATAATGCCCACAACACGGTAAAGGGTTAGAAGAAACTCTGGCTTTGGAAGCAAACGATCGAACAAGGAATGTTTGCCAAAGACTTTTGCACAACAGGTTGCAGCTCCTCAAACCCTCCATCATCCACCCACAAAACCTTTTCTTTAAAAGCTGTCTTTTGGGAGCCCTTTGGGGACAGAGTGAAGGCGTTTTAATGATCCTGATCCGGGTTTCCGTGCAGGTGATACCTGATCTCCTTGGAAACGGGACGGCGCACACACACACATTCGAAGAAAACTTCCAAACAAACAAACAATCTGACTCCGGAAGAAACACACGCTTCTACCGTGACTAAAGCATCGACAAATGATCTATTCCTTTCCTACCGATCTGCTGGAATCTCTCCTCCTGGAGCCGCGGCTGAACATGGCCAGCCGGAGGACGCACAGAATACTTGTGAAGCAAACAGGGAAATGGTGTGATGATGAAACCTGAAGCCAGTGTTTATTAGTTAAAGACGGGGAGTGAGTGAGGGAGTTCCTTTCCGCTTCTAAAGGCACCAACTCCTGGCTGTTGTCCCGATCTATTAACCCTCGTCACTAATGAACGTTGGCGCGTTTCCGGTTTGCGGCTCCACCCGGAGTCCTCACGGCCAATGGAGGCAGCTGGGCTGTTTGAAAGGGAAAAACGATCATTTCGGGATGCAGTGGGAAATGGAATTGTTGGCGAGTTCCTATACAGACCTACCATTGAATAAATAACACTTCACTGTCCTACAAACACTACTCTGTCATAATTTCCATCGTTTTCTAAGGCCCTCCCCCCAAAAGTCCCATATCCAGGAAGATAAACAGATAGGCCTATTTAAAAAAAAAAGGAAACTTCTCCAATTCTGTCAACTTTTGAAGTGTGATACAGTCTTATCTCCTGTCATATTTCACATTTGTATTTGATAAATTGTTCTCTCTTTTCTGTGCATCAAAAGAAACCATCCAAGTTTGCGTGATATAATGTTTGCAAGGTGTACCTCCTTTAAAAAAAAATCCTCGATTTATATAGTAAGTTCTTACGATTTATGTGAGTACATATACTTTAAGGGATTTGGAAACAAAGTACAGAAAACATTCAACTTGAAGCAAGAGAAACACAGAGACCGATGTAGTCTGTCATACAGATGGACCGCTGACCTCAGTGGCTGGGGGCTAGAACATCCTTCTTAGACATTAAAGTCTGGAGTCAAATGATTGCAATTTGTCAGAAGTGGGGAAAAAAATAACTAAAACAGAAGCCACATATTCTCCCAACCAGACCTGTGTTCACACACAAATTCCCTGCTGCCGAATGAAGATAAACACTGAGCCCCTGTATTTTGGCATCCAAATTATATATATGTGTGTGTGTATGTGTGTGTGATGGTGGTGGTGGTGGTGGAGGTGGGGGGGCTGAGGCACACCAGAGAGCCTCAGCTCAAAGTCAGCCCAGATTACCTTTAGGAATGATGATGGTAATGACGGAAGGAGTTGACCCTCGAGACCCTGGTTTTAAAACCTCTCTCATTACTGTAAATCTACATTCAGAGCCTAAACACTCTGGACTCTAGGACAGCTTTAGAGTTTCTTTTTTCCCATAAAGCTTTGAAAAAAAACTACATGGAACTTGGGAAAGGCTCCTTTTTTGGTTGTCCACAGGTTACGGTGAGTATTAGTACAGTGAGCTGATCCATGACTGGTAATTCCTCACATTCTGCTTCGCATTACCCCAAATTGGGTGCAAGGTAGTGGACGTGTTCTTCAGAAGTGTTCTGAACGTGATGTACAACTTAGGTCCGAAAAGCTTTGGCTGCTGCTCTGATCCTTGTGGGAACGTCTGTGAGACTGGTATGAAAGAAATGTAACCTGTGACAATAGCAGTTCCAAAAATGCTGTGTTAAAATGTCACTTCAAACAGTGTCAGGAAAACAGTACACTTATCTCTTTTACAACAGATTGTAGGTCATATTTACCACTGTAACATCACCTTTTACAATGTCTATTTGTCCATCCTGTACCATGAAACACATCATAAGCATTTTTAGTTGTATATAATTTCCAGGTGCAATCTAAAATGATCTGTTTAGTGTCATAATTGTAACAGGACCATATAACCTCCTGACTTTGCTCAAACTGATATTGTTATGGATTTAATTCTGCTGTGAAATTGAGATGGGCTTTTGTATAGGTTTTCCAGTAATCTAAATCGGGTTATTTGATGATTATAAACGCATCGGAGTCAGTGTCTCAGCAATTTGATACCACATGTAAATCAACTATAGTGGAATTGGCACGGTGTAATGCCTTTTCAGACCGGATATCTTTTGAGAAACCATGCAGAATTTCTGAATGTTTAGGTACTTAAATCTTAAAACTCTGTGTGTCTGTGGTAAACTGCACATATTTGCTTGGTGCTGTAGATATTTACAAACTCAGATTTTCTCTCATTCGGAGTGCTGACACCTGGAAAATGACCTGATAATTCACTCTACATCAACACTGGCAGATCTAGGTGAGGTCCATAAAACCCATCAGTCAGCCGTAATAGGTGGAGCGCTCCCATGGTGTCAGGTATATCAGGATAATCATGCCGATGTTGAAGAGCGACCATTTTATGTTCCAGCACATTAACAAGACCATCATCTTTTCATAGATTTTTACAGGCTGCATTAAAGTCAAGGACAAACAGCTGTTAAAATAATTTATTAGTGAGAAGAGCACAAAGACAAGTGTGGTGGTTATCAGGCATTTTATTACACTGCAATCACCACGCTATCTGGTTTCATACATAAATCATGCCTTTAATAGGGAGGCAGCAAACTCTGCTTAAACAATTTATTCAGATATGACTTCTATATAAATAAACGTATTCATAAGACAGAATGCATGCTGCCAGACAGTTATATTTAGAGCAACACCATGTAAATTGTTCATGGACAAAGTTTATGTACATTCACCAGAAAAGAAGGTCAAATAAATATTTCAATATAAAATAAATGAATATGCAAGACCTTTTACAATGTTAAATGTGAAAAATACATGTGGCAAAGGTGAAAAAACAAGATAAACACATTAAATAAAGTAATCCCTTCTTCATAACACCTGAGAACTCTACATTCTGTCATTCACAATGAGAAGTGCAATTGTCAGCCCTCGCCAACAATAAGACACATTTAATTTCTTCCCTGTGGCTGTTTAGTTGCAGGTTGTAATTATAGTAAATTCCCTTTGGATGAGGTGTGCATTTTATCACTCATGGCACTGAATTACTGCCATACAGAGCAGCTTGTAATAGCATATACAGCTGCTAATATGAATAATGTACCCTAAACACTGACGTCTGACAAGATCAGTACACAATACTGTAAAAAAAAAAAGAAAAAAAAAGTGGCTTAAGAGTTACAACAATAAACATACAATTATAAGTACCCTGATATTCTTATTACATAAAAAAGCTCTAAAGAGGAGCAAATAAAAAAAAATGTGGACAGATTATTTTAAACATCTGAAAGGAGGGTTAAAAGGCTGTGAGGAACAGGAGACACTGCTTTAAAAACAGCATCTGGACAGAACTTACAATGCAGCGAATGGAGAGGTGTCTCCAGAGCATCTGTGGAATTTGATTTGGCTTTCTTTTTAATCCTTCAAGTAGCTCCAGATAAGATAGCCCAACTGTTCAGTACAATCTGAGGGCTAATGGCTCTTTCTGATCATTGTAACCTACCTAAGAGATTTGCAGGATTACAGCGGAATTCAGCTCTCTCTGATGTTTGGCAACTTAAACTCTGCACTTCTGGTAAGCTTAACCATTTCACCTTTTTGTCCAGACAGTGTGTGTGCACGTGGGTGGGTGTGCACAATGCCTTGTTGTGTTTGCTAGTGTCTCAATGCCCTTTACAGATCAGGGCTGGGCATGCTAAGCTGTTTCACATCATGGGTTTTTATTGGCTGTGCTTGTTTTGTCCCCATGGGGCTAATGTAGAAGCCGAGTGAAGGCTCACAAGAGAAACAGCAGCATGGCAGCAACACCTGGCCTTTCTTTCTTTCTTTCTTACTTTATTTGTTGCACCTGACCTTGTTAATTGCCACTTAATGAGCCTGCACAACCCCCCCCCCCCCCCCCCCCCCATTTGATAACAGCTCCCACCTGCAGGTAACAGCTGGAGACCTTCAGACGGAGCCTGAGAACAGGCGATTCGGTTTGAGGCGTCTGGTTTTGGGCCTGATGAGCCACAAACTCAAAAGGCAAAGGGAAAAGAGAACAACTGGACTTAAGGGTAGTAAGAGTTGCACAGGCCTTACAAAGGTTCAGAAATTAGAAATCGTTGTAGTAAGTATGTGTTGCGTGTACTGAAGACTGGAGACACCTCACTGCTCTGGACTGGTGACCATCACAACTACTTAAGAGCATGTATAAAACTGTCTATTAAAAATTAAAGGTAGGGTCATTTTAAAGTTAAATAATGGTAGAATCATGTCAAAAGTGGAAGGCATATTTTGACACTGAATTAATGACAACTGTGCAGTGTTAATTTTTGACAAGAAACCTTCAAAATCTTGTACAATACAAAAATACATGGCGAGTACAATAAATAAAACAATTGATCAAGTTATTTACAGTACTTACACCAGGTTAATTTACACTATACACACATGGTATAAAAGAGCTGATGTGAGGAATCAGTTTTGATAATTTGTCTGTAGCACCAGTGAAGGAGAGATGCAGTCACACAATGAACACCTGAGGGTCACTGTGGACATTAGTTGAAAGAAAAGAAAAAGCACAATAAGACTTAACATTTCGTCTTGATAAGGATCTATACTAGACAATTAGGACTTCACAGTAGATGTGTGCATTCAGGAAGCAAAGAAGCAGATTCAAGATCTCCATTTTCAACAGTAAAGCAATTATAACAAAGAATTAACACATGCACTTCTCACCTGTTTGGTTGTTTTATATCTATTCCACTGTTACGGGCAAAGTGCGACCAGAGGAGGGTAAGCATTTCCCACAGTAGCCTCCACAGGTTCCTGACACTCTGCTTCCACCCTATGGACACATGAGGAATAACACATATGGAGACTAGCTCTCTTTTCATCCAAAAAACACATTGCATATTTAACAATATACCAGCAGCCATCCAGTTAGGACACATTCACTCATTTACACACTCACTGCATTACATGATGTGAGAAAAACAAAATTCCAATCCTAAGATTACTGATAAAAACACACTAATATATGGTGCTATACTAGGATTCTCAACATCAGACAAGCATAACCAGATACTAGTAATATTTTGTAAGAGATCTTATTACGGAAATGTCATTTAAAGATGACACGGCCTAGGTGAAACATCATAAGTATTACTTTTTTATCAGCTTGAAAAGTCACTTGCGAACAGTTGTTAGGGTCACTCGTATATTTTTGTTTCCTTTTTAGAAAAGGCAAACACAGATAAAGGCCTGACAAGTAGGCTGCCAGCTAAGAACTATTTCATCAGGGAGAAACAGAACGAAAAAGATCAGTTTTGCTTTGCACTTATTTCCTCATATGATATATATTTAACACAGACATAGTGTCATACCAAAATATAAACAAAAAAAAGTAATAAAATGCATCATGCTCCTTCATACAATGACTACCCCACACCCTGAAAGCCACAGTCCTCAAGAAGTGGTTTGTCTGGTCTTTACTGGAGTGCCATCTCCATATAACTGTCAGGCTTTATTTAAACTGCCTGAGGTGCCCAAAGTGCAACAGCTGGTTCTGAATTTCAGACTGCGAACAGCGTTGACTCTATCTCTTGTGTCCACTTAGCCTACAAGCACTCTGTTGCCTGATCTCCATTTCAAAAGTGGATGCTGGTGTTATGAGTGAGGGTGCTGGAGAGCAGCTGGCCATTAACATTTCTGAAAGGATGTTTGTGAAAAGATGTGAACCTTGGAACACTAACCACCCCACCCCCAAGTGGTTTGGGCCATTTGGTGGTCTTTAGCCTGGAGGACTGGAAACAATAAAGTTGGAAAGAAAGACTGAAGTAACAATATCTGGTTATTTCTTTCTTGATTAGGGATGAAGTCCTTACTCGGACTAATACACTTTTCTTCTTCTGTCATAAATGTGTCGACTGTCAAATTTCAATCCATATTTTTTAATCTTTTCTTCTAATTTACCTCTGATTTCTCCACATTAGCTACAACATAGTTGCCCTGGGAGATCCACGAAGCATCCTCAGCCATCCTCAAGCCTGTTCCGGACAGGTTGATGTTAAACCGGCCCTAGATAAGGAAAGATGGATAGAAAATATCAGATAATATGAGATTGTAGAAACAACATATTTTCTTACAGAGACAGAGACATACAATTTGAAAAGGACAATTTTATTAGTGTTACAAGTCTGTTTCATTACAGGAGAAAAATAAACTCTATCACTTAATAATTTATGGACCAGTGCAAAGCACTGAATGCATTCGCTTCATCAGATTGATGAAGCGAATGCATTATTTCAATGCATGAAACTTAAAAAGAAAACATAAGCAAACAGAATAAAACACAAACAAACAAACAACACACCCTATGCTGACAAGAAAGAATAAATGGGCAAATAAAAATAATCTGCTTTGGGACCTATCAAAGAACATATTCCAAAGCCAGAGGTGTTAATTGGTATGCTCAGTTATTATTTGTCCCTGTAATCCAATTAGTATGAACATTCTACAGTTTGAACTACAACTTCATAGTTTAATGGTTTTGAGCTAAGCTGAAGGGTTTAGCTGAGACTTTAGACTTTATTTGATCATTTTATTCTTACCTGTGGACAACTGGCTGCACTGTAACAGTCTCCGGCCGTTGCAAACGGAACACTCTTGCCTTCACGGGTGTAAGAAAACTGCCAGTCTGTAGCTAGATACCAAAATACAACAATTAGGATGAATAAGAAAAGTCTGTCTTGAGAGTTGTTTTCTAGGGGACTTCAGGACAATCTTTGTAATGATAGCTCCATCTTCTAAAAGACCAAATCTTGTGTTATTCAACAATACAGGAAATCTGGAATTCTCGTAGGTCAGCCAAATAACAATGTCTGCATAATTTGGTTTGGTCAAAGCAGTTTCATTCAATCCCCTCAAGCCTTGTAATTGAACTTTGCTTAAATGAAAGACATCTTGCGCCCATTAACCCTCGCAATCATAGACATAATTAAAAGGAAAAGGAAGTTGTCATTTGAGTGCAGTGTGGAATAAACAAGCACTGCATGCTCTGGCATGTGTGTGTGTGAGAGTGTGGGCAACTCACTGAGAATGTTCATGCTTGTAACGTCCAGGCGAACCTTGGAGAAGGTGGTGATGCCCGCAGCAGTGTGGTCCCTCCTGCAGTCGCAGTCGTCTCTCCTGGAGTTATTGGTCGGACATTGGGTGGGGTCATTGAGCCTGGGAAACAGACACAAACAATCAGAAACACAAAGAAAACAACCAAAGCTGAACTTTACATGCCCATGGAATTTCCTTATTTAAACAGAACACTGCCAGCAGTCATATGGATCTTTATAATAAAAAAAACAACTGCTCTCATGGTTATCCTGTTAGCCCTTTACCTGAAGCCAAAGATCTCTGAAAAATTCTCCCCTTCCCCGGTTGTCAAGGTTATGTACTCCTGTGGAGTCCCTGTCTGCATTCCAGCACAGTAGACCTGAGGGGAAAAAAGATGGAGGAGTGAGAGGGGCAATAGAGGCAAGGGAGGGATGGATAAGAGAATAAAGGAGAGACAAAGAAGAGACGTTGAGGAAAATTGCAAGGACAAAGGAGAGGCGGAAACTTTTCAAGTGCCTTTACAAACATCGAATATAAAAAACTGTTCTGCCTTCAAAAACTGATTTGATTAAACTGTCTTACCTTCAGTGCTTTTCCTTGAATACTGAGAATGTGTTCACTGTCTGGGATGGGGCCATTCAAACCCTGGATTTCAAGACAGCTAGAGGGTAAATGGCCTTAGAGACACAGGAGAAGAAGAAACATTAAATGCGTATTCTGTAGTGGGTTGTACATTCAATGCAGGACAGGTACTCAGGCTGTATATGCGTATATGCACACAGAGATTACGTCAGTTATCATGTGGAGTAATTAATTTAATTACATCAAAGGGAAATGAAAGTGACTCTGTGCCTGATGTCCCATGGCACGCTAAGGGTTTGAAATGTTCTGCCCAGTAAATCAGCCTTAGATGATCAAACTGACTGGGTCTAGCTAAACTATGCCTAATACTTGATTATGAGATTATATTATTTGACTTTTATGTTTCCCAGGTAGCCTTTTAAGTGGCAGTTTGTTCAAAATATCTTGAAGCACTCACAGCTTGGATTCCGGCAGACTTTTCTGGAGGCAGGCATTCCATCCTGAGAACATGCATCGCCTTCTTGACCATCTGCTGACACACACTGCACTGTCCTCATCATCACTCCATCGCCACAGCTCACTGAGCACTGAATCAACCAATGAACAGAGCAACAGTGTCAAGAAAAAGCGGACTATCAGCTATTCTCATCTTCAGATGTCAGTCTTTACTGACTCATCATGTGCTGATATCACCAAGCTCCAAAAGCATATATACTTTCAGTTGTCTGTTGTAGTTTTTTACATTTACATTTAGACATTGAGCAGATGTTTTTATCCATAGAAGGAAGCAGGTTACAGATACTTGTACTACTTTACCTGTCCCCATATTCCAACCCCCCACTCCTGTGGTGATGGGCATGGACCCAGATTACAAGTCATGTAGCTCTCTGGGGGGGTCCCAGGGCAGTTGGACAAAGACTGAGGGCCATACTCATAGTTGTCAGTCTCCACATGCACCTCACTGCAAGAGACGAGACGCTGCCGGTAGCCCTGACCACAGGTGACCGAGCACTGGCGGAACAAAAAGCACCAACATGAAAGTACAAGTGCATTCATCATTGACCTTTGTCAGCTCTACATCGTGTTTCACAACACTGACAATCCTCGAGATATTGTTGAGAACATTCATAGAGGAAAACAAAAAAACCTGTCTAAAAACCCTCACAAAGACCAATTCATCTGGATAGCTGTCGGGTTGCCTGCTCACCTCTGTCCACTCCCCTGTGATCCAGATCAGTTCACAGGCCTGCGTGCTGCAGCTCTCCATGGTGGGGGGTCGGATCTGGTTGACGCAGTACATTTCATGCACTTCCTGCTGGTTGTGATCCACACAATGCAAGGCTCGCTGCCGGTGGCCCGATCCGCACGATTTACTGCACTGTTAGGGAGACAGTACTGAGACTGAGACGCACAGTCACCTCAGAGTGATATGACAAGCACCTATTGAGAGACTGCTGAGCCATCTAAATGACAAAAGGCCTTCAAGTAAATATATCAGAGTAGTGGAGCGGCAAAGAGCAAAATATCAAGAGAAGAAAGCAATGTGTTTCTGAGATGAAGAGCTGAACAGAGGATAGGACCAAGTCATCAGGAGTGATTATGTACCTTCTCTTCCCTTAAACAGTTTACATCACTGCCAACAGTGTGTCTATGGAAAGGACAACCGTGAGTTTCACTTTAAACTTAAAAATGAGATACAACTGTACAAAATCCGCCTCAATTTTATAGTCTTATAGTCAACAGTAAAGCTTAAAAGAGAGCAACCTCCTTCAGTTTATTGGTCTGATGTGTGAGAAAATAAAAAAAAGAATCATCTGAGTCCTGTGATGAAGTTAATGTCACCTCAGATTAACTATATATTACATTTACCGTATATTCTGACATTATTTATGGAAAAACTATATCCTGGCAGAGGTGGAATGCAAATAGCATGACTTTCTTGTCTAGATTATCTACTAAGTGAGCTACAGTTGAGTCAAACTCACTGGGAACACTGAGGTGCCACAACAGCCAGCTGTTGTACATCGCTCTTTTATTGCTGAAAAACGTTGAACTTCTTTGTTAAGTTCTGTACCGACAGGCACTTAAGTTTTAGTATGTATAAAACTTCTGGCTGAAGATGGCATGCACATACAATATAAAAAACAGTGGTTTAAGACAAAATATTTCTTTTGTGCAGTCAGTAAGTACATAAAATGTTATCTTTTGCTGGCTGAGCAGGCTTAATCACGCCCAGCTCTTAATCAGACGCTCATTTCCCAGATGTATTTCATGCTGTTTGATGACAGATCCAACCAAATAAGCACAGCGGAGGAGAAACCCCTGCTTCCCTTTCCCTCCCCTGTGACAGATCTGGAACTTCTAGCCATCAAAAAACATTAGATTGTTAATAAGTAAGAGTGAATCAAACACAGTCCAGGCAAGATTGAGGACAAGAAACAGATATCAGATAGCAATCACATGAATCTAGAACTTAAAAAGATAGTTACTTAATATAACTTGTGATGCTTATTCAGCTATTAAGCTCCAATAAATTGGATTAATGACCTTTTACAATCATTCATTCATGTCTAAAGACTGATAACTAATGTAATTAGTGGAGCTTAGATTCTAATTTAAATAATTTCATTTGTTTATTGATTACATGCTGATCTTAAAGTTCACATTTGAAATAGAGATCAGCTCCTGTAAAATGTAGGATGGGGGAAAAGCCACACTGTGCAAATGATTTGTATTAGTTAACCAAATAATGGTCAACTATTATGTGTTAAAGGTCAAGTCAGACGAATACTACTGAAGAGTAACAATTACTAAATCATTCAGTAGTGTAGTTTTCTCCTTATTCCCTCTCAACTTCTCCTCTAGTGCCTCCAGCATGAGCAGCATGTCCATTCCCCCACATCTGTCAGAGCACGGGGCTGTGCGCAGCCTGCAGTACCGGGGCTTACCGTCCTCCACTCCCCCTCCCTCCAGCGGAACCGGGACGGGCATTCGGACAGCCGGCAGCTCTGGCTGGAGGCCGGCCGGGACCTCTGCGGACAGCCCAGCTCCAGCCGGACCCGCCCGTCTCCATTCTGACAGAAAACCTCCCGTCTCTGAACGCCGTCTCCGCAGGAGGCTGAGCACTGAAAAGTGGAACAGGTGGAACTTTCAGCACGGGTAAGTTTGTCTTCCGTTCACTTTAAATGTCACCGGCTCCATCAGCTGATGATTACCGGTGATGTTGTGCTCATGCATAAAAAAAGTAAAGCCAGATGCTATTTCTTGCCGTATTTATTGTTTAAACGCACTTTTGCCTTTTCAGATATACTGTAATGGAAATTTACCCGATGCAGTCAGCAAGCAAGCAAGCATGGGAAAAAAGCACAATTAATATATTCATTTATGCTTAAATGTCTGCAACCTAAACTGTATATTCATCTTGAAAAGCAGAATTATAGGTCACACAGAAAGTTGAGGTCTTTTTCTGGAAGCATGTACAAACTGAATGCATGGATTTAATCCTCTGATACAGAGTTCAAATACAAAAAGAGGGATGGATGGAGAATATACAGTATTTGTTTTTGCATTGTTTGAATTTCTCAGCCTTAAACATTGTTTTCATGCTGTTTGAGGTGATATCAATATGTCAGACATGTCCACCTTTTCTTTTTACAGAGACCGTTGCTTCAAAAACACCGGCCATGCACAGATGTCAACGCGATGCTGTTGGTTTTCATTATAATTGTGCGATACTGGGTCATTTATACATATGTGAAGTTAAAGTAACGTTGAAAAAAGTGTTTATTATTCCTCCACAAATCTCTAAAATACCCATGATCTGCCTCACATTTCTTTACGTCTATACTTTACTAAGGGCCAGGTGAAAGGTTTCATTTCTCGGCTGTCTGCAGCAGATCCCCTCTGATGTGTCTCTGTGCTGGCAGCAGCGAGGTGAATTCAAAGCGAGAGAAGAGGCATAAGAGGGGGAAGAAAACAAAGTGAAAGAACAAGGGAGCAAACACAAGGCAGACACCCAGGTGCATTCAGTGCGTTTGTCTGGCACGGTGACATCAGTGATGTGCCTCCAGCAGCAGATCCAAGGAAAAAGCCCAACATGTGGTTCCCATTCTGGAGGCACAGGCACAAGTGAGATAGAGGATAAAAGAGAGAGGGGGAAAAGGAGAGAAAGCTGAGGCCTAAAGCAAGAGAAAATGCACAGATGAGAGGGTTAGATTTACTTGACTGGACTGGAGATCAAAGACAGGGGCGCATATCCCCTCAGCTATCCACCTGTCTGTGCTGAGGTCACAGTGTACGCACCACCTCAGTCTCTCTTACATCCCAGAGCTTTTTTCCTCTGTGTACAAGCCTACCATCGCACATACCGTCAGGCTGAAGAGCACATGTTTCACTCATATAGGAACACTTGCCCACAAGCTGGTGAACGTTCGAGTGGAAAACTGAGCTGACGTGTGTGGCAGTGTGAAAAAAAAAATGAAGAGGAGTGTTTTGAGGCAGAGGAAGTGGAGGAGGGTCCTACCTCGCCCCAGCCGCTAGTCTTCCACTTGGGGCATCGTCCACCTCGACAGCGCCTCTGCTTGCCGGGTTTCGGGGATAAATGCAGGCAGTTTTCCTCCTGGACGGGACGGCCAGAGCCGGTCACACAGCTCACTTTACGGGATTTGAAGCCCCTTCCACAGGAGGCTGAACACTGCAACATGGAAAGCAAGAGATGGATATAAAAAAATAACACTTTTATTTTGTGTTGAAACAGCAAATATGTCAGACTTTTAAGGGACTTAAGTGAGTTTTGACCTTTAAACTTTTATAGTCTACATGATAAAGTCTTAAGTAAAATGGTTACTAGTAAGTGAAATAGTTGATCGTTTTTTTTATGCATTTACGTGCGAGTAAACAAGTCTCAGAGCAGCGTGCGCCCCGCTCACCCGGCAGCAGTCTCTTTTATCTCCGGGTTCATTGAGTTAGTGAAAGTCTAACTCGGTGTGACAAGCAGACACACACACACACCAGCGTTACAGGAGGGAGTGGAGCTGGGTTGTACTGCGCTCGGATAATCAAAGGGGGCGTTGCATGTGGGGATGGATGAGAAGCGACAGGCTCAGAGTTGAACGAGTCCGTGGCTCAGCGTGTGGTTCTGTTCTGACCGGCAAAGGACTGTACTGGACAGGAACATGCTGTGACCTCTCACCTCATTCCAGGAGAGTAGGTAGGAAAAGCCTTGAGAAAAAGGAAGCGCTAAAAGTCTTATCGTCTTTGTAAATATGGCTTTTCTCATGTCCAGATGTAATCTGTATTGTACCAGTGTTTGCTTTCATTGTGAAAAATAATGATTAAACGCTTAAGTTATCAAAGCATAAATAAATTGAGTCATTAATGATAAGTATTTGTTTTAAGGACACCATGTTTCAGCTTTAATTAAAAAAAATATTCTGGGACTACTCCAAAGATTTCACTGTCATCATTGACTGCTCTCAGAGTCAAAATATATACAAGCCCCATAAAAGTTACTCCAAAGACACATTTTTTAGTGTTCACAGGAAACATGTTTTAGACGATCTGTCAAGACTAAACGCAAGCTGCTTGAAACTTTTATTTGACCTCAGTAAAATGTCTCAGGCTCTCACCCTCTGGAATTATCCATTGAGTCAATACTGAGGCACAAAGTCCTATCACTTCATCATCTGAAGTTAACATTTTATTTGAGCTAAATTTAATGCTCAAAATAATGAAGACATCATAGAATTCCCATCCACATAAACAAGGTTCTGTTTGGCACAACCATTTCCACAGTACCTGGAAATTAGTTTGCTTTTTTCCCTTCTTTTTTTAACCCTGGATCACTGGTAGTTTCCCATAAGCCAAGAAAGGGCCCCCTCCCAGATCAAAACTGACCTTTGACCTCTCAGTACACCCCTGCATTGTTTTGCTGACACCTCTTATTCCGGTCACATTCGTTGGCCCCTCAGTGGCACACTCACTTACACGGTATACCAGAATAAAGAGGCCATAGGAGAAAGAGGGGGAATTCTTCCAGCAAATTCACTGGAGAGTCTGTGCCCCCCCCCTCCCCCGTCTTAAAAAAAAAAAAGCATCGGTATCGTTTATGAGTGGATGAGCAAAGTCAATGAAATGGGAATTATACTGAGGCCCTGTCACACAGGAGATTCAGCTTCATGGACACATCTTTGAACTAGTGACACAGATAGTCAAAAGAGGTCAAAAGAGGCCCTGACCACATAAAATAACAAGAATATTGCTCAGTGACTTGTGTGTTTTCATTCAGGAAAAACACCCCCGTTGAGTCATCTGGCCGGTAGGACTGCTTTATAAGCTATTTTCCCTCTTCCTCTTCTTTTAAAAGCTTTTGGATAAAAACATAAGTGAAGCCCTAATTAACTTAGGTCACTTCCTTATCCACACACTGTAATTACCACAGAGCTAAGGCTGGTGATTTGCAGTTAGCAGCAGGAGTACAATGTTACAAGCAGAGTGGCTGTTAGCAATAATGAATGTTGTTAGAGGATGGTAAATGATGACTTATTCCTTCTGCCTTGTTTGAAAAGCCAGTCCATGCAAGGTGTCAGCAAGAGTTTTCCCATGATTTTAAATGATCTTGGTCTGGTCACCGTATGTGACAAATATGTTTTATTCAAGTAAGAATGAAAAAAGCCTTTGATAGTACCTCTACTTCACTTTAATCGTGACCTTTTCTGGAAATGAACAGAAATCCAACAAATCCATTAAAAAATTAAATATTGACACATAACATGATACTGAATGAACAATAAATACAAGTAATTACATAAATATACAGAAATATTCTTGAAACAGACTAATACTGCCATTTATGAATAAGAGACATACAGTATTCTTATTTCAAGAGCCTGTTGATATGTTTGTTTGTGCAATACTGCTATTTGCATCCATAGGTTGACCACAAGGGGTCAAACTGCTGCGACTGAAAAATGAAACTACACAAAATATTATAACAATTTACCTTGATGTTAATGCAGTGTTCTTCCTTTACTGATTCACTGATATATTTTACAGAGCCTTGAAAATACATATGGTAGTCATTACATGCAAAAGTTCACATTAGTAAATGATGCGTGGTAAAAAACAAAACAAAAAAAAAAACAAATGTACTCGCTGCTGTGTTAACAGGCCCTTAAAATAAGGTGTGATGTCAGTACAGACATTTATGACCAGGAGGAGTCAACTGGGTGGGCTGCAGGCAAATCTGCCCCAATCCTCAGATTCTGGATCAGTTTCCACTGTCCTCCAAAGGGATGGGAAGCATATTAAGGTGGGAGATGACACACACCTCAGATCTGTGTTCAGGGCCATCGACTGAACTGGACAGCCTCAACAAGTCATGCTTTATCTTAGCCAGCCAAAGTTCCTCCAGAGCAAGGGAGAGACAGATATGGTAGAGGGGATCCTAACAGAGACTGAGGTAGACACAGTAGATTGGCTCAGAATAAGAGCTATGCATACAAAACACCATTAACTTCCCCTGTGGTCACAGGTGTCACATAGTACGACATTAACAGCCCATTCTCTTTAACGTTTTAGCAGATCACTTGATGGACAATCAAGGACAATTTAACATGACTTAATTATATCTGTGATACACTCATGCATTCAGCTGATCGATCTGGTCAGCACATAAACTGCTTATGGAAATAAACAAAATTACAGAGGAGGCTGCAATGCACAACAAGAAACAACTAACCAACCAGAAATGTGATGGTTCGTTTTTGATATCATATATCTCCCTTATTTGGCCAAAGCACCTCTGAAGTGTACGTTATCTTTGTTAAATGGCTAGATGAGCTGTGTTTTGTTCCAAGTGAGGTATTATTGAGCATAGCATAGCAAAACATATGTAGCAACTCCTAGTACTTATTGTACAAAGCAAACAACTAACACGATATAATTACACTCACATTAAGCACCTTTGAAGCAGAGACCTTTCAAACTACTGTTTTGACCACACTAAGGAAATCTGGTAGAAAATCATCCACACAACGGGAATACAATGGCTATTAGTTCTAATTACCACAAACTCAGTGAGACACTTTGTTTTACAGTTGCTGCTTATTGTTGTAGGGCTGATATTACACACTCCAGCCACTTTATAGTTTACATGCCTGCATGGGCATAGAAATAGTTTTGGAAAACAAAACAATTTGGGTGATGTCACGGCAGAGGGTAAACCTATAAAATGTAAAACAAAGTGTCTTAACAGGATTTGTAACCCCTCAAAAAATAAAACATGTGCCTTGAGACAGACTGAATTCTCGAAACAATTGCCATTTGAAAGATGGATACAGAACAAAGATGTTTACATGTTACATATCCCAGGTGACTTCCTATGAAATTTGGTGCATTTAGCTTTTGATACAGAACTTCTATTGAGTAGGACTTTATAAGTGAATACTAAGTGCTATTCTTTGGATAATTAAAAAAAACCAAGGCATCGTACTGTATATTCCTGATATACAAAAACATTCATCAGCATTTGCATATGAACAGCGTTGGCTAAATGTGCGAATACAAAGAGCTAAGAGACACAAAATAAATCAGTTTTAAAAGTCAATGCTATATACATGAGATAAAAAGGAAAAATATCTTAATAAATTATCTTTAAAAAACAATATTTTACAGAACTAACTTCTTAACTGATTCTGATACAAAGTGATCCTGAATCTTTAAAAGACTAATACAAGGCTCAACAACAACGGTTTTATGAGAACTAAGACTGACAAAAAATGCTCCTATATTCTTGTGGTCACAGCTGTCACTGAAGTATTTTGGATTTAGTACTTTTTTCACATGCAAGTGTTATCTTTGTTATTCAAGAGCAACAGAAATAAACTTTTCTGGTTTTGTCGTAAAGAAATGCTGAAATGTTGCTGGCATGAGGAAGGGAGCAGGAAGTGGAGAGGGTTAAAGGTAAGAACAGAGAAGCTGGAGAGAAACATCTCCAGAGCAAAAGCACCATGGTCATTTTGCCCCTTTAAGTGAATGATTAAGACTCTGGGTGGTTCAAAATACATGAGGTTTTAAAACAAAGTATAGAGTATTTTTTATGAGCGTACCGAGCTCCATGGGTCTGTGCTCCAGTGGGGGCTAGAAGGGCACGGCTGAGTATTGCACTGCTCTCGATCTGGTGGCTTGTCGTGGATCTCGCAGCTTAGATCACTGAAACGCTCGCCGTTTGGACGCTGGCATACCACCAGCCTTGTCTTTATCCCACCTCCACATGGCTTAGTACACTGAAGACAGTAGGAGGAGAGGCTGCGTTTAACATGGTAAAAGGTTTCGTTCTGACGGACTATATGAAAAATGGTGTAGCGAGTTTTGAGGATGCTCGGCTGGTGTCTGTCTCACCTCTCCCCAGTTGCCATAGATCCACTGCGGACACAGCCCTGACTCACAGGACTGTTGCTCGCTGGGTCGGCTGTCATCCTCGCAAGTGTTGGCAGGATAACCGTTCTCATCCTGGCACACCACTACTCTCCGTTGGAAACCTCCAGCACATGTGCTGGAGCACTGTTGTAGCAAGATGCAACATTAGAGAGAGCACATATCTTCACATATCTGTCAACAGGTGCTTCAATGACAGATACCCTACACTTTATTCATGTAGACACTGATGATAACATGCAGCACAATGAGCCCACGGTACACCAAAAAAAAACTTTCAGATCAAATACACACAGAGCAAAAGATCCTCGGACACAAAGCTCCCACAGAAACACAGACAATACTAGTATTAAAGTTGAGACCCTCAGGAAGGAAGGAAGAGTTTCCAAAAATAGCAATGATCGCTTCCCTAAATGGCTTGAAGGTCAAAGTTATGTTTGGACTACAATTACCACTACAATAGCTTTAAAAAAAACAGCTCCACAATACAAAGTAAGAGGCAGCTGAGGTGGTGTTCAGGTCATGCTATTCTATGTTGTTACACATCTAAAAGATCAGAAACTTCTCTTAAAGGAGAGAGTGAAGATTTTAGGAACTAAGCATTTCTTTTGGGTTGGTTTTCAAAGAAGGTATTCGGGTGCAAACATAGTGTAGGGCCAAAATAACCGATTCACCAGCAGTTCAAAGGAATTTTCTGACTATTTTGTTTAAATTAGTGCAGAATGTATTCTAGGTTCTTTCAACAAAAGGAAAACTAAGATTGCTCGATGGGAACTCAATGTTTTCCTTCTTCGTAGTGCAATAGAAGAAAATCTACTCATTATGCTGCGTGGGGAAAAGAATCCACCACGAGATTGTCAGCATCACTTCACTTTCATCTAAATGTTAGGTCAGAAGTGGCAGGATACTTCTGAGATCATGAGAGAGAGCATATTGCTTGGTTCCAAACACCAACATGGAGAATATGTTGAAATATTTCATTTTTCACAGGGGGAAAGAGGTTTTCACTCTTCTTTTTACTGGCTTTGGCAGAAATTTAATTCAACCAACCGCCTCATTTTTCTTGATACAAACACCTTATCAAACAGGAAGTCTTTATACTGAACCATCTTACTTGAAAAACAGATAGCATATTTAGTCTTCTACTTATAAAAACAAAAACAAAATCCACATCTGTAAGATAAGAAGGTGGGGCATTCTGTTTTTCTGGTTCAGTAAATGTAAAACTCCATTTGGTAACAAACACTTGCTCAGTCTCTTGTTGGAGCTCAGCAGTTGGCTGACCACTGTCATGTAATGCTTTTTGTGCTTAAGATGCCTCACCGCTCCCCAGGGGCCAGTCCGCCACTGGTGGGGTTGGCTGCGAGGCAGGTTGTTCCTGGTGCTGGTGTTGGGTGAGGACGGCAAAGGTCGGGACTCACTGGAACGGGACGGGCATTGAGACATAGTACAGGCCTGCTCTGAGGTAGGACGATCGTCTGGGTCACACTCACTAGCACTCACTTCTTGGTCACTGAAATTTACGCACAGCACCTGTCGTGTCGTCTTTCCCTGTCCACAGGTCACTGAGCACTGCAAACAGAATTACAGTAGAGTTAGGAGGTGGGCAGAAATATTTTACCAGCTACAGATAAACTGCCCTCATCCAGTGATCTGGCACATGACTATGTATCTAGATGTTCTTTTTTAACAATTCATAAAACTCAGTGGCTAAAAGAGGAAAAGTTGCTGAAAAGGATTTAAAGTTGGTACCAGCTATGAGATTAGAATGGAAATACTTTGATACAAAGCCCAAGAAAGGCTGGTATGAACTAAGCTCAGCCTTCTTTAACAGGATCCATTCCAGACTGACGAAGCAGTAACTCATGAAAGAATCCACGTACACTTTCTAGGAAAATGACATGAGCCAGATATCCCCCCCCCCAGCGCTTGTACTGTCTCCCTCAGCTACTCCCCAGCTCTGTCCACTTTCTGTATTACATAAAACAATCTACTATACTTATGCAACAGCCATCCCCTAAAAAGCCCTGGCTGAGATTATACTGTCCAGAGGTTTACACAATTCTGACACATGACTAAACATTCTGAGTTGCAAGATGGGTAAAAGGCAGCTGTAATTGATGTTCCAGAAAGCAACGCTGATGAATAATAAACAATGAGGTGTTTAAGTTATGAGAAAAATAAAAGGGGATATTTTCAATTTTGAAATCTACTCTTTTGTATTAGTAATGCACGTGTGTGTATGTGTGTGTGTGTTTGTGATGTGTCTAGGCTAGGTGGAGTATGAGAAGTTGAAGTGTTTTTGTGCATATTGTGCATGGTGACCAGACCTTCAGTATGACTGTATTGTATAATCAAAACTCAGATGAGGAACATCTGTAAACTTGATCAGTCCCTTACTGCGGCCCCTTGCATCTCCCAGCTCCAGAAATCTTGTGCCTCACACATTTTTAGGCTTTTTATCTTTTTTTGATACACAAACAAACACGCACACACACACACTTTTTCTTAACCCTTTCTTAACCCTCCCTTCTTGTGTTAGTTAGTATACTAACCATGACTCAGAGTTAGTATACTAAAATAAAAATCTTTTGCCACAACTTGGAGCACAAATGATCAATTGAGAAAAAAACCAAACACTGGGTGGCGTAATACAGCATCACTGTCTTCTTACCACTGTCCATTCCAGTACTTTCCACTGTCCACATGCTACAACTGAGCACACTTCCCTCGCAGGTGGTTTCTGGAGGTGAGCACATGCTGACTCGTCTGCAACACCACCCTGGTTGTCTCGACAGCTCACGTACCGCATCCGTGTTCCTTTGCCACAACTGGCACTACACTGTCAGGAGATAGGGAAATGTTAAGAAACTGAAAACCGTTAAACTGACAATGAGGCTGAAAAAAAAAAAAGGTGGTAAGACAACTAACCTGTGTCCAGGAACCAAAGCGCCACTGGGTTTTGTGGCCCTGGTGGGAGGGGACATTGGTTCCTGGTGGAACAGGATGGTTGCTCGGACACTGGGCCAGTTCACAGTCCTGAGAAAAATCAAATACATGCAACTCTTCATGAAGTGAAAACCAAATGAACATATTGTAAAAATATCTGTAACTGACAAAAGATAAAACAGAAATATGTCAGGTTGCCGCTGTGATGTGGAGCAATTGAGAGCAGTTTAAACTATATTCCTTCAGCCCTACATTTGAAAGTAGTTAGATTTCCCATCAACCCTTTCCCCCCACCTTACAAAAACAGCATTAACGGGGTCTGCCCTGCCAGTTCAAACTATGGATTGTGGCAGTAAGCCACTCAGCATAAAGCCCTGATCCCTGTCATAACAGGTCATAGTGGAGTGGTATTCAGGGCTCCAATGCCCATGCTGGCGTGGTCATAAACTCCACCCCTATCCCAACCCCTGTCCCTCACCTTCCATCCTCTCCTCCTCTCCCCACCCCCTTGCCCTCTTGTGCCCTTTGACCTCTGCGAGGACCATAATCAGGCTGCACTGACTGGGTAGACTACACATTCCACACTCTGCCTCCTAAAAGAAACAAATAGGTCTCATGGCAATACTAGAGGCGCTTCTTCACAAGCTTCCCACTATAGTCTCCCAGTGTGTGCAGACGTTCACAGCTTTGAAAAACTTAAGAGAGTAAATCTACAAATTTTCCCAATCCCACTGACGAAACAACATCCCTCTCTCCTCCTTGTAAAATCCCTTCTATTTATAAGTCCTGCTTGATGGTGGGTGGTGGTGGGACGAGTGGCCTGGTGGCCCACTTCATGGCTGACTGATCAAATTCACAACGAGGTGGGGCAACTACTTCAGGGTCACTGGTCACCAGTCTCTGCTGGTCTGGGCACCGGAATTAAGAGCTGCTGCAACTAGAGGGGGGCCTCATCCTGAGTCTGCATGCTCAGCCCTCTGAAATGGGTTTACGCCCCTCGCTGACCAAACAAAATTCCCATTCAGTTTACAATACTGCAACTTTCTTTTGAGTTTCTGTGCCTCTTTGTATGTATGTATGTATGTATGTATGTATGTATGTATGTATGTATGT